CTGTTCAGGTTCATGTAATGCTCTAAATAAATTTTAATCTAAGTTTTTTTTTTTTTTGAGGGGGGGGGGACTTTTCTACATACGTCCAGGCTGCTGCAGACGTATCTCCTGGGATTCTTGTAGTCTCACCCCATGAGTTCAAATGAATCCGTTTGAACAGGATCGGTGGTGCTGATGAAGGGGCTCTTGAGTCCGTCTGACAGGCCTGTGGGTGGAGGCCACTGACTTGATTGTTTAATTTGTTGGCTTTTCGTCTGATGTTTCACATTTTGTTCCTGTTCAGCTCTCGTCATGCATACATCTGAGGGTGATACCAGGTGCTTCTCTGGAGCTGCCCTGTCTGTCATTCCAAAGTGACTTCGCTGGAGCAGATATCACCTGGAAATTCAATGGTGCTATAAAGTTTCTGTTTTCACCACAATGCAAAATGTGTATATGTATGATACAATATAATATATATTCTTTTTAAAAAAACACAGGCAAAGATCTTAGCTCCAGTGGTCAGTCATCTGGCTTTGCTACAGTTAAAAAGAATGGCTTGTACCTCTCCATATCTCCTGTTGCTGCTGCTCATGAGGGTGGTTATGAGTGTTTGGTAAAGGACAACAATATAGAGATGATTCGAACTTACAACATCACAGTTGATGGTGAGACACACTCCTATTTTATCACATGCATTGTTTATTTTAACTCAAACAAATGGAGCATTTTGAATATGGGTGGATTCAAGAAGTTTGACGTGTTTATTTCTTGCATCCTCCTGCAGCATCAATTGGCTACACCATTAAGGTAACTGAAGGCTTCGACGTTAACCTCCCGTGCCACTTCCCATCTTCCAGCCAATTCAAAGCCAATGCATTGTGGTTCAAAGAGACAAGTGTTGGTGAAAGAACAAAGCTGAATCTTACAGATGAGAATATGAAACTGGAATTACTTTATCCAGATAGCCATGATCAGACCGTCTTACTCAGAAAGACTGCCATGGACGATGCTGGATTTTACCTTTGCGAGTCTGCTGCAGGGGAGAAGCTCAGCTCTGTATACATTATTGTCGAGGGTAGGTTTGGCAACCTTCTCTGATAAACTCCTCTGGTGCTGCGCAGTCAATAAAATGAGTGCTTTTAAATGAATATTCATGCAAGTGCTGAAGGCCGATAGCCCTGAAGACTTTTCAGATCAAAATCACTGTTTAGTTAATTAAACTGTAAACCTAATATTTGATTTCCAAATCATGTTGAGGGGCTGATATAGAAGGGCTGCATCAGTTGTGCTCAAATTTGTAATAATCTGTTATTTTGATTTTTTTTCCAGCTGCTCCTACCTCTGTTCCTCACTCATGCGACGGCTTTACCTCAGCCTGGGAGCCCTGCCTGGACGAAAACAGTCGGACAGGGGAACCCATGCTGCAGGAATCCTTGACCGAGTTTTCTATGAGGCTGTATTCTTTCCTCAGAGAATTATATCCTTCCACCAACCTGCTGTTTTCACCTGTCAGCATCAGCGGAGTGCTCTCGCATCTGTTGTTAGGTAGGAAAAGGGAAGCCAGATCCTTATTTGCTTTCAATATGGTGAAAGTTCTTGGTTATTCTTAAACCTGCCTGTGTATCCAGAGCCTGATAAAAAACCTGGTCTGCTGTGCCACAGACCTTTATTGTTGTTAAAAAAAAATACTGAAAACACATCAGTTGTTGCAATGGCTCACATGTTTCTTAATGTTGGTAGCACCAATCTGCCACTGGAAGTAGTTCCCAACAAATATGCCATGTTTTCCTGACTAAAGTGCCCATCTGTGTTAGAAATTACTAAGAAACTAGGACAGTTTTTAAAAATGTTTATATCTTCAGTGGGAATAAATAGGCTCAGGGCTGACCCAGCTAGCAGGAAATGTTCCCACAACATTGGTTTTAATAATGAAGAAAACATGAGAACATTTTAAGTACGTCTATAATGTCAAATACCATTGCTGTGAGGTTAAAAGTGACCTAAGACAAAACAAAAGGATGTTGTCAGATTATGTTTCATGATAATAAAAGAAAGTTCTCAAGCCAACATTCCAAAAATGTTTCCAAGATGTTATCCAGGCCTCAGAAGACAGAATGTGATTTTAGAAAATGTGCTTGTAACTTAATATATTAACAAAAGCAGAACGTCATACTTTAGTCGGAGTATGTTTTGGAGATGTTCCTGTTGAGAACGTTATTCCATAAAATGTTCCTATAATGTTACATTATAACAAAGGAGGGACATTTTCAATGCAACATTCGTAAAATGTTTTAAGAAGCGTCTTAAGAGAGTTTTATGCTACCATTGAGAAGAACATTTTTCAAACTGAAAGATCTTTGTCAGATCGTATTTGGAACAAAAAAGCTGTAGCTGGGTTCAGGACAAATGGGGGAGTTATCAAGAAATGGGCTAAAATTGTATAGAATAATGGCAACCTTGTGTCCTAAAATTCTTTGGTCTAACAAATACTAGAAGACAAGAAAAGTTCCACGTAATTATTTCTCTTTCATGTGCAGCTTTCTATACCTAAATCTATTTCTATATTGTGTCTTCCTCATTGTGTTCAGGTGCAAGGGACGACACCCGCAGAGCCATTGAGTGGGCTCTGTCTGTGCCTCATGACTTCCACTGCGTTCATAACCAGATGAAGAAGCTGCGAGAGAAGTTGTCCAGTTCCTTGCAAATGGCTTCTCAGATCTACTATAACCCACGTATAAAGTTACCACACTTAGAGAAAAATGCAGCCAAGGAGAACAATGCAGACAATCATAGCGCAAACAAAAGGTAAAATGATTTCTTCTGCTCTCATCGTGTCATTTTCTCTGTTTTCCTTCTCAGAAATGAATCTGAGTGAGTCCTTTACCCACCAGTCCATTAAATTCTATGAAGCGGAGCCTGTCAAGCTACTGGACACCAACGAGGCAAATGCGCAGATGATCAACAGCTGGGTGGCAAATAAGACCGGCAATAAAATCACACATTTAGTCGACTCCATATCACCCAGTGCTCAGCTGATCCTGCTCAATGCCGTCTCCTTCAGTGGTCAGTAAAGTGAGCGTGCAAATGTGTGCGTACTGAACATGCATATGAAAATAAAATGTGTGTATATGTGTGTGTGTGTGTATGTGTCAGGTCAGTGGAAGGTCAAGTTTGATACGAAACCAAAGAAAGGACATTTTACAAAACTGGATGGTGATCTGGTTAAGGTGCCTCTCCTCCATCACCAGAAGTACATGGTGGCCATGATGTACTCTGCTGAGCTGAAGGCGCAGGTGAGCAGCAGCCATCTTAAACACTACACAACAAGGAGTGTGTGTCTAAAAGCTGTCCAGACATTTCTGCCACTGCAGATTCACACTGGCATCAATTCATTATGGATGAAAAATAGCCTGTTTTTTTTCATAATGCTAAGTTATTGAGCTATAAAAATTTTTTAAAGTGCTAATTTTGGCCTGGGTTTAACCCTTTATGGAGCAAGTGACCATATTTGGTAACTTCCTTGGACGTTCAATATGTCCACCTTGTGCCTCTCCTTGAGGTTGAAGAACCATGTGCACTTTGATTTAGTCTTTGTGTTCGGTGCCAATATCACTACCCTACGAAAAACGTCACTAAACAAATGTTCCAGGCACTTAATAAACGCTTTGTTTCTGGTTTGCATTGAACTCCACTTCAATTTATTTTTTGAGATTAGTGCCACTAATACCACTACCCCAAGAAAAATGTTACTAAATGAACTTGCTGAGCACTTTATAAATACTTTGTTACTGGTTGTGTAAGTGTCATTACCTCAAACTGAAATGTTTCTAAATAACATTAGAACATGTTACTTTTTCTTTTATTTATTAGAAATTCCAAGCTACCATATATAGTAACTTCAGCAATCTTGATTTGCAACATTATTTTTTTTTTTTTTAATTCACAAAAGTAAAAATATCTTGAAATATCCTTCAATACCACCCTATGGTTGAAATTTTCATTTTCCAAGTATTTCAAGGAGTGCCCTATAAAGGGTTAAAAACACAGATGAACAATAACCTATATACTGTTACAATAATTCATATAGATATATCAATATTCAGGTTATGTTGTGTGTTATGTCCTGAACATGATTAAAACAAGAACAACATGTAACAGGAACTAGCGCGCATGTGTGTAACATTAGGTGACCTAATATGTCGAAGCTGATGAAAATTAAACTAAAGTTAATAGTATAGGACACATTGCAACATTAGTTGTAAAATATTTAACAAAAAGCTAAATCCCGTCAGGGGCAGCTAGTCTCACCTAAAGCACAAAGTTGTCCTGAAATGGCCCTACATGAAACAAAGGCATAGATGAAAGGCAGTAAAGGTCCTTTAAGGTGCTAAAATCCAAGGCTTCACTGTTGCAGTTTTAAAGTTTATTCTCTTTCAATGTTGGTGAGAAAGTCATTGTGTGTTTGTTTTTTTAATATCTAACAAATCTGCTCAGAAATCCTAAAACTAGATGCCAGAACTTGACTGAGAGTTTTTATTAGGTCTTCTGCAGCATCAAGATAATGCTCGTCTTGTTTTGTCAGCTCATTCTGTCCTGTTAATGGTCTCAGTTCATCATAATGTAAACAGAGGCTTCTCAGTTTTGTGCAAGGGGGACCCACTGTGTCCAAACTCTGCTATTGAGCAACACCGGGATTGTTTTTTCATTTCGCCAACAGGTGGCAAAGTTTGGTCTCACAGGCGACAGCAGTCTCTACATCCTGCTGCCTCGCTCCAACAAAGTGACGGACCTGCAGCAGGTGGAGGAGAAGCTGACGGACACGGCGGTCCTCCAAATGATAGAACAGATGAAAACAGCAGCTCCTCAGCAGATGGAGGTCACTCTGCCCCAAATCAAGCTGGATGTCCAGCCAGACATGAACCTTCTTATCAAAAAATTAGGTTTGTTCACCTTCAATGTTCTTCTCTGTCAGTCAAACTCGAATTATGTTTTTTTTTTTTTAATACCAAAAATGAACACCACACATGCTTTCAGCCAGAGCACTTTATCCACCAGAGGACCATTAAGTCCCATTTGTGAAACATGTCTCTCCATCTGCTCTTCGATTTATCTGATCCATGTACTCGGCTTTCTCCCACTGCTTTAGAATCATTATTATTTTTAACCACCATCATCTTTCTGGACTTTTTCTTTCCCTTTCCCTGCCCAACCAGGACTGTCATCACTTTTTGAGAGACCAAATCTGTGTGGCCTCTACTCCGAGGAGGAGCTGGTCCTGGATGATGCCAGACACAAGGCCTTCCTGGCTCTGACCGAACAGGGAGTTGAGGCCGGTGCCGTCACCGCCATGTCGTTTTCCCGCTCCTTTCCCACCTTCTCTGCCCTGCGGCCCTTCATCCTGTTGCTGTGGAGCGACCAGGCCAACGTGCCACTCTTTATTGGCAGAGTGACTGACCCATGAGGGAGAGAAAGTGGGAATGTAACAGGAGCAAATGGGCAGGAAAAGCATGTTAACAGAAGCTCTTGTAGGAATTCAGTTGCTTTTTTAAAAAAATTGGGTCTAAAATATTGCAAGTTTAGCATCATTACTGCTTCATGTAGTCACTACGGAGGACAGTGACCCCCTACAAAAACATATTAACAGGCTTAAATGATAAATAAACACATAATTGTACAACATATATGCTGCCTCTCTTTTTTATTCTCTACAGCATTGAGCATAAAGTGGATCACATTTCAAAGGAGGACAAACGACCACTGAAACAGCTTCAGATTTATTTTGCGAAGTAGTTACACAAACCCACCACAGGATGGCAGCCATACTGTGTGATTGACATTGACAGCGAATACACAGGGACTGCAACAGTGAATTCCCATCTCGTTCCCATCTCAGCCCTCCTGCTTCATTACCACTGGTATCAATTAAAGGAAGACAAGTGTCAAAGTTTGTGACAGTAAAGGTTTTGTGTGGTTGTTTTTTTTTTTTTTTTTTTTTTTAAGCATGACAGCGTTTGAAAACTTATTTTAGCCTCTCTTTTTGAGTTTTCTGTTGACATTGCAGGTTGTTTTTTTTTTTTTTTTTTTTTTCTAAAGCTTGCTTGGTAAAGCAGAGCAACTGAGCGAAAAATACCCTGAATCATCGTATTCACAAACAAAACAAATACACACTGATGGTAGGAGACCGAAACGGATGACCTGGACTGTAAACACATCAGCATTCAGAATGATCAGCTAAGGTTGCACTCTATTATACAAGCTGATGGTAATTGCTAAACATGCAGCTGTATTGCAGATAAAATGATTACATAAGCAAAGCGGGGTCAATAGACAAGAGTCAGAAAAAATTCTGTGACTGTAAACAAAACCAACAGATCCAGACACAGGACTAAAGAGTCATCCAGCCACAAATGCCAACTGTATTTGATGCTGTCACCTAGCCGAGCCACAAACAAAGTACTGAGTTTTCCCAGAAATGTATCCTTCATGCTTGGATAACATAATAATGCTGTTTTGGTTTTGATTATCTCATTGCTGACGTGCTGGGACTTTTAATGTGCATAGAGAAAGTACAGAATAAACACACCGTCCTTTCCCAACCCTCATGTTGAAGTCATTTCAAATCTAACTGAAAATGTGTTTAAGCTTACACGTAGTTTAGTCCCAAGCTTTTATAATGTTATAATGTCCAAGCCCTTTTATATTCTGAGCCTAATCCACCACTAACGGATCCATTTTTTTATTTAATTTTTTTTTTGCAGTCAACAATCAGACATTCACAAGGTTGTCGAAGGACACCAAGAATATGAGCAGTCGGATCGATTCAACAGTTAGAAAACTCCCGGAGGCCACTGACCGACTGTGGGTGTGCTTTTGTGAACAAGCGTGTTGGCCAGAGTTGCTGGGACAGATGAACCGGGGGACATTTGATATGCTGGCGGAGATTTAGACAATGCTGTGATGAGTTTTATACACAATCAATATGCAGAAATGTGCATAGAGACGCATAACATGCATGCAGGGTAAAGTGTGCAATCTAGTGTAGTTTCACAGGATCTTGGATCTTAATCTGTGCGTCATCACTGCCCTTTTCTGCCAAAAGAGTATCAACGCAGGGTGTAATTCCTCTGGTCTCAACGTCTGCACTGACTGCACAGTTTATATCAGCACAAGATCCTGTGATTGACATGGAAAGTCTGTCTTTTGTCCAGAGGATGAAAATACATGCCATTCCACCTGATTTTTAATAATCCAGAAGTAATGGGATGAAAAGAACATTGATCACAATGACTCCCTCTGATGGTTAATGTAATTTTCTTCCAAATTTCCTTTACCTTTCTCCTTAGAAGCTCAAAAGTAGAGTGTGTAATGGTAGGTTAGCAGAGGTTTTTTTTGTTTTGTTTTTCAAGAACTGGGCAGCTCTACTCACATAAATCAGATAGCAAGACCAATCAAATTTCAGCATTTTTAAATTAAGATGTGTGACATTGCCCTGCAGGAAGAAAACGTTGCATCATCTGTGTCTCTATTGGAGCAGAACTGGAGCTACTGAGGTAAACTCTCTTGAATCCAGTTGAAATCTGCTGCAACAAAGTAAAGTTACAAGCAGCACATCCAAAAGTAATAACCGCTGTGCTGTGGACACAGCTTCAGCCTTTCATCAGGAAAGTCAGAGAGAGCAGTGAGAGGGTATGCATCGAGATATATTCCTTTCTTAAAGTTGCTCTGTGACTGTCTGGCAATGAGAGGGAGAGATGGCAAAGGCCTGGCACACATGACTGACAGTTTGTCAGTGTCCTCCAGCCAGGAACATTCACACCACGGAGACCTGTGGCGGCAGCAGAGGATTTCTCTCTTGTATGCATCTTTCCTGTCCTTTGTTATTCTTCACACCTCTGTGCTTCTGAAGTTGGATGGAGACATTTCGAATGGGCAAGACGTGAATACAGATAAACACGTACTGCACAGACAGAAAATGTAGGCACTCATATTCTCATAGCCCTCATGCACACACACGCACAAACACACGCACACACACACACACGTATGTTGACACACTAATGTCTGACATGGAGGTGGATAGAATACCACTGTCACCGAGAGACAATGAGAAGACGTGAGAACAAGAACACTGAAAAGGTAAAGGTACGAATCCACCAAATGGATCATTTTGTGCTTTATAATACGGTGTGTTGTTTTGCATCAGATCGACAGCCACTAAAATTGAGTCTTCTCGGGACAGAATGACCCTTTTGGAGCATTTCCACTCCTGTAACTATGTACCACATTATGAGTCACAAGGGTGTACATACTGTTGGGCACTTTCACTGAATGAACTTTGAGTACATTACTCTCAAATCTGTGTTAATTTGAGTGAATATGAGCAACTTCCACGATACAGTAAGGTCTAAAGCACAATTTTGTGAGTATTGTTCTGTTTACGTCAACACTTTAATGAGGACATCATCACAATTTGGTTCACCTTGAAAAAAATGTATTCAGATTACACCTTATTACCATCACTAATATTAGTATGAATATCGTATACTAATACTTTGTGCTGTGTTTATTGGCAATATATGACAGATTTCATTTTCAACATTAATCTTATTGCATGTTTTCTCCTTTGTTCATATTACTGCTTCACTTGGACTCTGTTTAGTGAGACAAATGTGTGTGTGTGTGTGTGTATGTGTGTTAGTGCATTTATGTGTGCGTGTGTGTTTGTATGCATGAATGTCTTGTGCAATCTAGTCCGGTTTGTCACTGCTCGGGGCTCCTTGCTGTGTGAGCGTATGCCAGTACTCGACTTTCTTCCCTTTGTTTTTGAGACATTCGAACCAGTGTCTGAGTCTCTGTCCGGTCGCATTGATGCCCAGCTCCACCCCACCTGCAAACAGAGAGGTAGAAGCAGAGACAGATGAGAGTCAGGAGGTCACAGGAAGCAGTGGGTCAGTGGGAAGGATGGGAGGCAAAATGAGGCAGAAACTGTGAGAAAGCGAGGAAGCGAATGAAGAAAAGAAGCAGAAGAAACAATGAGGCATCCAGCTGTGAAGGAGGGACTCAGATCTCTTAAGTACCAACACAACAACATAAAAATACTCTTTTACAAGTAAATGGTTCTCCTAGTTTCACAAAACCGGTAATGCACTGATGTGCAACATCATTTTTTCTACATACAGAAGAATCTGTGCAATATTAATATTTCTACTTGTGGAAGAATCTGTCCCAAACCACTGATATAATACCGTTGATACAGTACAATCATGCTATTTTCCACATCAAGAAGATTTAGTCTGTGCATTATCTGAATATCCACACATGGAAAAATCTGCACTTATGTATATTTTTGTTTATGCTTGTACTGTCTCTTTGCTGTTGTAACACTGCAAATGTCCCCACTATGGCATTAGTAAAGGTTTATCTTATCTCATGTTATCAAGGCGTGTATAGCATTTTAAAGTTGTAGTTGCCTAAGGCAGAGATAATTTTACCTACTTTATATACAGTTCAGTCTTCTAACTTGAGGGTTCCAAAGTTCCACAAGATAAATGTGAGGGGGCGCTAGATGATTCATGGAGTAGTTTGGCTACACATATTTGTATTTTTTTACATTTACATTTTCACTTTTTCTTTATGACTTTTAAAAAAAAAATATTTAAAAAAATCATTGGATGACTTTACCTTCTTGAGCCGAGAAAAGTTTTGGAAAGAAAAGCCAATCAGATGTTTAGAGGGAAATCTGTCTCTGGTCTCCACAATGCCTATAGACATCTGAAATACTGTCAGGGACCCAAACAAATACTGCAGTTTTATAAAGGGCAATGGGCCCAAAAAAGAGCGACAAAGAACAGATGAATGTTTAGAATCAAAATCAGAATCAGCTTTAATGGCAACGTATGTGTACACATACATGAAAATGAGCGTTTGAATACTTGGTACAATTACAGATATGTGAAAGATGTTTAAAGTTAAATAAAGTTTAGTGCAAAAATTTAAGTGAACCAAAGTTTAGTGAAAAACACAGTTGTTAACAACATGCACAGAGGTCTTTGCACCATATATACATGAGGTAGGTGGCAGAGGATAGAGAGTATATGCAGCATAAACAGTGGTTCAGGGTTGAAATTCAAAACAAGTTGTTTCTGTCGTTATATTGATTTTAAGCATTCATTAGACTGATGGCCTGGGAGAAGAAATTGTTCCTGGTTGTTTTGGCCTTTGCAGTGCATTGCATAATATACTATGACCTTATGATATTTTTATGCAAATATTAACCTGGAGAATAGCTACTGATCATAGGTAGCATACAAGTGGCACAAGAACATAACTATACTGTGGCAAACCAACAGACATTTAGTTTTCTTGTTAAAATCTAATATTCAATTATGTGTAATTGAGCTAAGGCAATAATGTTCTGTATATCAACTTTGATGCCAGTGAACATTATTATTATTTGACAGGCAGACAGACTTGGGAGCAATTAAGGAGGTAAACAGACACGTGAGATGAATTCCTCCAGGCAGAGAGAGATGGAGAAACTGGTAAGTAGCTGGAGAATTACACGAAAGAGAAATTTCCACTGAGGAATGATTTATTAAAAGAACATTGGCACCGAATCGGCTGGGGGATGGGAATAAGTACGCAGAGAGACAGGAAATGAGTCAGGTGAAAGTGAACAG